GGGGGTGCTCCTTGGGGAAGCACATCGCGGGCATCTGCATGTCCAAAGGGTCCTGAGTTCTGGCCTGGGATCCCTCAGCTGATGCCGGAGGGGTGAAGTGGGGACTGGCTTGAAGAACATTCTGGAGATGTGGCCGTGGGAACCAGGGAAGCACTCACGACTCAACATGGAGGGCTTTGCACTTTGCAAAGCAGTTTAGGTTCACAGCTGCTTTGGATCCTCCCCCGCCCCCTGGGAGCCGGGCAGCGCTTCGCAGTTTACAATGCATCCTTCATTCTTTCTCCTGTTCGAGCTCTGCAACAGGTCATTTTTCCCAGATGAACTTCAATGACTTTTCCAAGGTGACATGGCCCGTTAGAAGAAGGTGTCAGATGAATGTATGGAAAAAAAGAAGGAAGGAAGGGAAGGAGGGAGGAAGGTGGACTGATGGTGAATGGATTGGTAGGTGAGTGAATGGAAGGAACAAAGAGAGGGAGGAAGGTATAGATGGATGGATTGTGATGATGGATGGATGGATGGAAAGACAGCTGGGAGGATGAGTGATACAAAGGAAGGAAAGTATAGATGGATGGATTGTGATGATGGATGGGAGGATGGATGGATGATGGGAGGATGGATAAATGGATGGATGGATGGATGGGAGGATGGATGGAAGGATGTATGGATGGGTGGATGGATGGATGGGAGGATGGATGGAAGGATGTATGGATGGGTGGATGGATGGATGGGAGGATGGATGGATGGATGGAGGATGGGTGGATGAATGATGGGTGGATGGATGGATGGGAGGATGGATGGATGGATGGATGGATGGATGATGGGAGGATGGATGGATGGATGGAGGATGGATGGATGGATGGAGGATGGGTGGATGGATGGATGGATGGATGGATGGATGGATGGAGGATGGGTGGATGGATGGATGGGAGGATGGATGGAAGGATGGATGGATGGATGGATGGAGGATGGGTGGATGGATGGATGGGAGGATGGATGGAAGGATGTATGGATGGGTGGATGGATGGATGGGAGGATGGATGGAGGATGGGTGGATGAATGATGGGTGGATGGATGGATGGGAGGATGGATGGATGGATGGATGGGAGGATGGATGGATGGATGGATGGATGGATGATGGGAGGATGGATGGATGGATTAAGATGGGAGGATGGATGGAAGGACAGATGGATAGATGAGTGAATGGGAGGGAGGGAGACGTACTGACTGACTCACATCGTTTAAGTTCTCAGCACTACTGAAAGAGGCATACTGACTGGCACCTAAGACGTAGTATGGGTCAGCAACTTCTGAGCAAATAAACCCCTGGGTCTGCCAAATTCTATGTGCAGCACAAAGTATACAAATGAGCCTGACTTCAGTTCTCCCTGCAGGCCCAACCACGAACCAAAGCCTGCTCCAGCGATGCATGCACAGACCTGAAAACCTGCACCAGCTTGGAACAGCACGCGACTGCTCCCTCCCCTACTTGCCTGCTCCAGGGGCTCACCCCTCAAACAGCATGTTCCTGGGAAGAGCACAGCGCTCACTTGTCTTAGTTCGTGTGGCCGCTGAAACAAAAAGCACCACACACAGCAGAAAAATGGAAGTGTGTTGTCTCCTGGTCCTCAAAGCTGGAACCAGAGATTCAAGTGTCAGCAAAGATTCCAAACCCTTCCAAGATACCTGGAAAGAGACAGCCTTTGTTCTGACTGCACCCTGAGTCCCAGCAAGCACACTTTCAACCTCAGGCCCTTGTGGAGATGGACAGTTGTTTGTGGCCATGGTTTGGAGGACCCTTCATTGGTTCATCAGCAGTCCAGGTCATCTGTCCACCAGCCCCTCTTCCCAAGTATCCCTTTATCAAGACAGGTGCTCTGGGGCCCATTCCTGGGGTGAAATCCCAGCTCCTGCAAGCATTAGCTGTGTGTTCTTGGGCCTGTTACTTTACCTCTCTGTGCCTTACTTTCCTCCTCTACATGACAAATAATGACACTGCCTATATGGTAGGTTTTGCGATGATGAAAAGCAAACATGTGTCTGGAATGTTGTGGGCACCAGGTCTGTTGTTTGCTAAACAGACCGAGAAACCATATAGGGAAGGTCCCCAGATTTTCGCTCTTTCTCCAGGAGCCCCTCGGGAGGTCTCAGGGCTTATCTGGGGCCTGGGAGCAGGGGCCTGGGGTTCCTGAGGCAGGGAGGAGCCAGGTCCACAGGGGACCGCACCTGGCAGGGCGGCTCAGGACTCAGCTCTCAGCAGGCAGCCCTAGCCGCACCCCATTTTATGCATATTAGAGAGAAATCCAAGCGTGATGGTCCGCGATTGTTCCATTTGTTTACAGCATTTGTTCAAGCATATTTCTGGCAAGGAAGCTGACAATAAACCGAGGCCGGGCGGCCGGGCTGGCGGGGCAGCAGATGAAGACAGCTGCCGTGGCGGGTGCTTCCCGGTGGGCTGGGGCTGGAAACCGGGGCTCTGTCTGAAGGCTTCAAAGAAGGGTCTTTGTCTGGGGCGGCCGGGCCCGGGGCCCCGCGGGGGCAGGCCGGCTGGGGCTCCCAGCCCTGGCGGATTGCGCATGGCCTCTCTCTGGGCCTCCGTTGCCCGAGCACACGGTGAGGGGACACCAAGGACCCGTGTGCGTGCAGTGACCCCGCCTTGTGTTGGCTCTGGGGAAGCGGGGATCCTCTTGGGGTGTCGCTCGTGTTCTGCAGCCTTTGGAGGGGCAGACAGCAAAGGCTGCAAACAACATGGCACCTAATTGGCGGTGAACTGGTGGGGGCAGGCGTGGGGGGCCCTGGGGCATGGCCCCCAGGGTCAGGCTGCCTCCGAGAAGGGAGGCAAGGGCCCCAGGGCTTCACCGTAGTTAGACTCCTCATCCCCCCGGGCTGCACCCTCGGCCAGAACCCCAGCAGCTGCCTCCTGTCTGCTTCCTGCACGATATTCTGCACGTAAGTGTTGAAGAATGAATGAATGAATGAACTAATGAACCAATCAAGCAAGCAACATATGAACAAACGAATAGACAAAAGAAGATCTGGCCCTTGTCCCAACTGGAGGACGAAGCTGCCAACTCCAGCGTCCCGGGAGTATATACCTAAGAGGTGTTCATAAAGCCTCCCTGACCATGGAACACTTTTTGAGTCTGTCTGTGAGGGATGTGAGAGTTTGGGGCAAGAAGGAAAAGACCTGGCAATTTCTGGAGGGAGCAGAAGTCACCCTCCAACTCGGCAGGTAGGCCAGCCCTGCCTGACTGTAGCCCACGGGGGTGTGGCCAAGGGCAGCGCCCGGAGCTGCAGTGGCCTCCAAGCTCTGTGCCTTCAGCGTCCTTGACCTGCCGGGCCAAACCCTGCCCTCGGGGCTCCTCCAGGCCAGCTCCTCTGTGAAGCCTTCCTCATGCACGCAGGGGGTCTCTGAGTGGGAAGAATCTTCCACTCTGTGTGATTTATGAGGACATGTGCCCAGGTCTTGTCTCCCATTGACTGACTGGGGGACGACTTGAAAGCCGGATGCACCCAAATGCTGGAGCCCCGTCTTGTCCTGGGACCAACGTCAGGGTGTTGAGGACGGGGTGGAGGGGTGGGGTGCAGGCCCGGGGCACGAGAAGGGTGTTACGGGCAGGGCCCTCGCACCAGGCAGTGCCCACACCAGGCGCGGGATCTGACTTGACCTCCAAGCAGATAGGTGATGTTCCTGACGCCCAGTCACAGACGGGGACACAGAGGGTGCGGGAGATGAGGGCATCCAGAACACGACGTAGCCGCGCCTCTGTGTTCCCCTCCCAAAGTGGCCTGGATGAGAGGACGGACGGGCTGGGGGCTCGGGGCTCCCTGGAGTGGGGACAGTGGCCTGGATGAGAGGACGGACGGGCTGGGGGCTCGGGGCTCCCTGGAGTGGGGACAGTGGCCTGGATGAGAGGACGGATGAGCTGGGGGCTCGGGGCTCCCTGGAGTGGGGACAGTGGCCTGCTGAGCCGGCTGGCCTTGAATAACGTGCACTGGGCAAATATTTGTCCCAGACTCCAGAGGGGCCAGAGGAGCCTCTGCCCCTCGCTGCAGGTCCCTGCCGATGAGGCGGGACCCTCCGGACGGGGGCGGGGGCTGCAGGAGAGGGGTGGGCTTTTACCATGGGAGACTCTGGCCTCCTGCAGGGGTCCCCAGAGAAGCGCAGGGGGCGGGGACGGGGCAGCAGCTCGCCCCTGGGCACCTCGGCCCGGTGACTCAGCAGCAGACTGCCCGGCGCCCGCTGCCCGGCCCTCCCCGCTGACCCCTCCGCCTGCCAGAGCCAGTATTTGAGGTCAGAAGGTCAGCTGACTTTTGTGAGCAGGCCGCGGGGCCGGCGGGGTCTCCTTCCGGGGCCAGCGCTGCCCCCCACTTCCTGAGGCTGCCAGGACTCTCCAGGGCCAGCCTGCAGGGTGGCAGAGGGCTGCTCGAGGCTCAGGGCACCTCCTCAGCTGCAGCATGGAGCTCAGGCCCCCGGCTTCAGAGTGGTGCTGTCTGAGATCCCAGAGGCATCGGGCCCCGCACTGAGGACCCCCTTCCTACCCACACAGGCAGGCAGGACAGGGGCGACCTTGCAGGTGACAGGTAGACCGAGGCCCTGAGAGAGACGGGGAGGTCTGCCCAGAGTCACGCGGCCCTGCGGCTCCCGGACTGAGGTTCAGGCTCTCCCTTCAGGCGTGTGGTGCCCTTGAGAACCCCTGGGTCACCTCTGTCGGCTGCCGAGGACAGGGCCGGCCCCCCCAGCCACTGAGGAGGTGACACAGCTTTGGAAGACATCGCCCCAGGCCAGGGCCCCTACCCCACTCAGATCATCTCAGAGCCAGACCCCAGGCTAGCTTCGGGTTGGCTGGGAGTGGCAGGACCCCGAAGGCCAGGCCTTGATGGGCCCCCCCGGCAACCACCAGGCGTGGCCTCCAGTCTCTGCCGGAGCCCACCAGCCCCACGGTGTCCAGCGGCCCACCCGGCCCAGAGGAGCACGTGCTTCCCTGGGCCGTCCTGTGAAGGCTGCCGGAGGTGACGGAGCGGGGGAGGACCGCCCGGGAAGATGGGGGCCGGGGGGTGGGAGCTGGGAAGCCCGGGCCCCCGCCAGCCCCAGGACCTCTGCCCGGCTGTGTCCCCGGCCCAGGCTCCTGGCCCTGCTCCGCCGTCCCCGCGTGCGCGCCGGGAGTCGGGCAGCAGGAAAATGTGAGTGTCAGCACCGTGACGCCACATTCCTGAGGTCTCGCTCCCTGCCTCGGGGCTGCCGCCCCCGCCTTGGCCCAACCCGCAAAGCCGCGCTGGTGGGTCCTGGGCTGTCCCGCCCCCAGGGGCTCATCCCTGGAACGCCCTCCCACCAGCCAGCCGCGGCTTTGGCTGCCCCAGAGGCCCCCACCCCGGCCGGGCCAAGGCTTTCAAGTGTGTTCCCAGGGGGCCTACGAGGCTGCCGCTGCCTCCAGAGGGCTGGGTATTTTGGGGGACATCCCCTAAAGGAAAACAGGGCAGGAATGCTGGAGGCTGAGCATCCTGTCCCTGAGGCTTGGGTGTGGCGCTTGGAGCTGGCGAAGCAGGAGGGGAGGGAAGAGGCCATGGAGGAGAGGGAGCGGGCGGGCGGTGGCCGGGCTGTGGCCCCGCGGCCCAGGGCACAGGGACGTCCCTCCCGAGGAGGTCTGTCCCTCGGCGAACCCGCTCACCTCTTGGGCCTCCTTCTCTCGTCTGCAGGGTGGACATCGAGGCCACGCAGGGCAGGGCCAGGATGACCGCACCGTCCGCCTTGTCCTCCTCCGTCGTCCCCTGCGTGCTGGTCCAGGGGGGTCTCCTCTCTCCGTCCCATGGCCCGTGGTGCGCAGGGCCAGGCTTCCTGGTGCACCCCCAAAAGAAGCCAGGAGCAGAAATCCAAGTCCAGAAGGAATGATGTTAGGGCACCCTTGACCCCAAGAAGCACTGGGGCCCCCCCATCTCCCATGCCCCTGGCCACCAGCTGTGCCCCTTGCATCCCCAGGTCCTTTAGAGGGTCTAGACAGAAGAGCCTTAGAGAGGAGCATCCCCAAGAGGGCAAACTGGGGCTGGGAGATGGAGGGTGCCTCCCAGGCAGGGCTCCGGCCTCTGTGCGGGACCCGGGTGAGGGTCTTCCTGGCCCCCCCACCCCAGCTGTGCTGGAGCACGGCGCAGGCCCCCACCTTCCTCCTCCTTGCCCCGGTCCCTCCACTCAGGGAACTTTGCTTATGAGCATCACGGAGCTCCATGCCTTCTGTGATATCCTGGCTTCAGCTTTCCCGAGCATGACCACGCCACACCATGTGGGCCCTCCTCGTGTGTGAGGACTGGGCCCGGGCACCTTGATCGGGGCAGGAGCGGGTGTGTATTGAGATTCAGCGATTAACCAACCCCAAGGTCCAGCCAGTGGGCGCTGAAGCCGCCTTGACACTCAAGCCCGGGGCCTCTTGGGGCCACAGCAGGCCACGCCGGGAAGCTGCCAGCTGCCCTTCCAGTCCCCAAGGTGGGCATCGTACCCACAGCCTCTCCCGGGGCAACAGGAGGACACAGAGAAGGGGGCTTTTGTCCAGCCCCGCAGGAAGGCCGGGGGACTCACAGAGCTGGCTCTGGCATCAGTTGGGCACCCCCGGCCACCCGGGCAGAGGCGGTTAATGAACCCGCCTCAAGGGGGCCCAGCACAATGGTGCGTTGTGCAGCCTGTCGGGCCGATCAGCGTGCCCGCCCGTCAGCGCTCCGCCGCTGGGAACACACAGCTAAAGGGGGGAACCCTTCATGCCACCACGGCGGGCAAGGCGGGGTCCTGCGGGGCCCTGTGGGGGGAGGTGATCAGGAGGACGTGACCGCCGGCTGACCCTCGGGGGACCCAGACGTCGAGGCTCCTCACCCGTCTCCTGTCCTTAGCGTGTGTGTACCGTCTACCGTTCTCATCGCCTCAACTTTCCCGAGGACATGGCCTTGAGAGAGCAAGGTGGCGTTGAGACCATCTGGCCACACAGAGTACGCAGCCGAAGCCCAGGGAGGACTCCACGTGAACGGCAGACTCGGCAGGTGGACACGGCAATCTGCTGGTCTTACGGAGCCTCAGACGAGTCTCCTATGTAAATTTCCGGCTTCTTCCACCTGCCACCTGCCCGTCTGGAGCGGCTGCCTCCTCTTCCATGTCTCTTGGCCCTCCGGTACGGGAACAGTTTATACCCCGACACCCCTGTGCCTCCAGCAGCGACACCCTCCCGTCTCACATAGAGCCCCTCGGTCCCCATCTACTGCAGGGAACCAACATGAGAAGGGGCGCCGTAAGCACAGGGCGGGGGTCCACCAAGACAGCCTGGCTTGGAGGGCTGGGTCCCCACGTTGAGGCAGTGATACAGGAGGAGGAGCCAGGCTAGGGCTCCAGAGCCCCTCCCAATCGTGACCTCGAGTTGACCCCCTCACAACCTCAGTCTTCACATCCCTACAATGGGCCCGCGGCCTCCCTGCCGCCCCCAAGGCCTGTGGGAAAGCATGCAGCTCAAAGGGTGGAGACTATCCTGTGAACTTCATGTGCGATGAGAAGGTAAGCTTTGCTCCAGGGAGCGAGAAGGCCACTTACAGCCTCAGTTCCCTCTTCATGGCCTCCAAATGCCCTTAGGGGCTGGGGCTGGGGTTAGATGAACCAAGCCCCCACAGAGTGAGTGGACAGCTGAGTGCCCACAGCAGACCGCACTGAGCCCTCAGGGAACTTGCTTCTCTCTTACAGCTGGTTTCTCTGTCTGTGGAGTGACAGGTTCAAGACTCCCAGGCTGTGTTGACCCCCTTGGAGACCGGCTGTCACTGCCTTCAGGTACCCCAGGCCTGCAACCTGGACGGGCGGGCCCTGACGTCGGCCGAGCCGGGGGTGGGCGTCCTCCCCGCCCCAGCAGAACGCAGGGACCCTGAGGCAAGCGCTGAACCACAGAAATAGCCCGGCAGCATTCCCACAGGCTTCTGGGTGGTATTTTTAGCCCTGGAGCCGGAGGCTGGGCTTGTTAAGAATAGCCCTGGGCAGTGGGAAAGCGCTCTGGCCATGGGGGCGGCGGTGGCCACTGTGAGAGGCTCGCAGAAGGCCGCTCGCGGTGGCCTCTCCCCAGGCGAGGCGAGATAGCATCTGGTCTGCAGAATCAGACATGAAGGGTTTCTGTGATGGCTCCCCAAGGGGCCGTGACTGAAGAGGGTGGCCATCCTCACCAAGCGCCCCGGTGACTCTGGGCCTCCTGGCGGACAGCAGCCTGCAGGCTGGAGCTGGCTGTCCTCCTGGGCCTCCGTGCCTATGGGGCCTGACACGCTCAGCGGATAATGCTGCAGGGCTGGGGGCCTTGAGCATGACTGTGCCATGATCCCCCTGGGGGCTCCTTCCCGGAGATGGGGCGCCCTTCTCAGGTCACCCAGCCGGGGTCCACTGGGCCAGCTCCAGCTCCTTGGGTTGTTAATTGGTTGCTCAGTCATGTCCAACTCTTTGCGACCTCACAGACTGCAGCACGCCAGGCTTCCCTGTCCTTCACCATTTCCCAGAGTTTGTGTAAACTCATGTCTATGATGCCATCCAACCATCTTGTCCTCTGTCGCCCCCTTCTCCTGCCCTCAATCTTTCCCAGCATCAGGGTCTTTTCCAGTGAGTCAGTTCTTTGCATCACGTGGCCAAAGGAGTGGAACTTCAGCTTTAGCAGCAGGTCTTCCAATGAATATTCAGGACTGATTTCCTTTAGGATGGACTGGTTGAATCTCCTTGCAGTCCAAGAGACTCTCAAGAGTCTTCTCCAGCACCACAGTTTGAAAGAATCAGTTCTTCAGCATTCAGCCTTCTTTATGGTCCAGCTCTCACATCCATACATGACTCCTGGAAAAGCCATAGATCCCTGGAAGGTGAGATATTTCGGCCCCAGGACTGAGATGCTCCGCCAGAGCACAGGTCACAGATGGGCCCGTAGCCTACAGAGCTCCCCTCCCTCGACCTTCTCCTTCTCATCCACTTCCCCGGGGTGGAGGGAAGCTGCCCCACTCCCACCCTGCAACCCTCTCTCCACCCCAAATCCTCGCCTCATTTGCACGGATTCCACTGCTGACTCTGCCAAATGACCTCTTGTCCTAGCACTGAATCCTCCGGAGGGCAGGGCTCCAAGATGGCTAGGCATCCTCATGCTTGGGACAAAGGGTGCAAGCAGTCGGCCGTTGTTGCTCAGAGAAGACAAAGAGCTGAGATTCACAGGGACGGCTCATCCAGCGCGTCCCCTGCTCTAAGGCCGTCCGTGGCTCTCCAGTGCCTGTGCGTGTGCGCCCTGTCACCTGAGTCATGTCCAACTCTTTGCCCCATACCTGTAGCAGCTGCATACTCTGTGAACTGGCACAGCTGTTTCCCCCAGGTGAGGATTCATCTGGAGACATAGGGAAGTTGAAGCAGATGAAGGCAGAGAGGTCTGGAGTCCTGGTGAGGTGGGGGCCCTGACATCAGCTCAGAAGCTGCTTTCCAAGGCGAGGTGGCACCTGGTGGGGGCAGGGAGGGACAGCATCCAGAAGCCTCAGTCAGGCATTCGGGGCCTTCCAGGGCCATCCACATTGCAGCCCAGTTCTACCACTTTCTAGGGGTCTGTCTTGCTCAGTGGAAACACCCAGGCACCCCGCTGACTGGGACCTGGGGAGACTTGAACCCCAGACGCTGCCCAAGCTGGTGCCCCGCGGGTGCCCCTCCCCTTCCAGGCTGATGTCAAGAGACTTTACAGCTCATGTCGGGCTCAGAGCGGGGGGCCTCTCCCAGCCCCTCCACCCCGCCTGTCCCAGCTTACCCCCGTGACTCTGGGCCTCCCCCTGGAATCCATTCATTTACCAACTCATTATGCAGCCAGTCAGCCATCCGTTTTTGTTTTTTTTTTTTTTCGTCCGCGTTTTCTGAGCACCTGCTGTGTGCCAGCTGCTTGAGACATGGAGACACTGAGGACCCCAGGACCTGACCTCCAGGAGCCCCCGGGTTGGCAGAAAAGACAAGCAAGGAGACTGAGAAATGCATGGTCCTGGCAAGAGCTGGTGTGAAAGACACAAGGGAAGGAGAGCTGGCGGGACCCTGAGGCTTGGCTTCTGCTCAGGGTACCGGGGTGGGGTCCGAGACCCGTCCCAGAGAAGGCGATAAGCAAGCAGATATTTGCTGAGTGAACCCATCGCTCCCGCGAAGTGTCTGGAACACCCTAGGTGCTCAGTCTGTGCGGCCGGGACCATGCCCTCCTGTTCTCTGCAAATCCACCTCCACGACTGGAACTGGAACTCTAAGAGCATCCTATTCCTCCCAGCATCCGAAGACCCTGAACCAGCCCTTGGTAAACACAACTAGGGCAGGAAGGAAGACATCATTTTCCCACAAAGGCTCCTGAACAGTGGTGCCAGCTTGGGGGAACCTGGTGGGGGATGAGGTGCACGGGGATTCTGACCTCCCTCCTGGTGAGCTGGAGGGGTCTCCCCGCTCTGCCCAGGACCACTGATACAAAGAGCCCGGAGAAGCACCCAGCCCGGGGCTCCCTTCCTTCCTTCCTTCCTTCCTTCCTGAGCCCTCAGCTACCCAAGACTCGCTCCACATGTGCCCCCCTAGGGCCAGGCACCACCCTCGTCCAGGACCACAAAGTAAATGAAGCAAAGTGCCTGCCCTGCCTCCCCGTAGCGCGGCACACAGACCAGACTCTAAGATACAAGCGAACGCTGGAGCCTGTTAGAAAGTGACGGGTGATGCAGGATGAAGGGGGCAGAGCTGGAGAGACCCAGAGCTTTGGAGACGGTGATTTCAGGCAGAGATCCCTGGGAAAGGATGCCCAGGAGGAGGGCAGAGTCAGTGCAAAAGTTCTGAGGCAGGAGAGCGTCTGGTGCGTTAGAGCAACAGCAAGGAGGCCCTGCACCCCGGGGCAGGACCAGAGGAAGCATGGGGGAGGGGAGATGGTGCTGGGCTTGTCAGCTGTTGAAAGGACTTGATTTTACTCTAAGTGAGACCAGAACCATTAGAGGAGTTGGTCTCTCACCTTCCCAGATCAGCCTGGCTGCAGAGTTTAGAACAGATTGGGAAAAGGAAGCGAGAGAAGTCAAGAGACCAGCAACGGGGCCCAGATCACACTTGGGAGACACGATTAGGCATCACTGAGAGTTGGCAGTGGGAGGTACTTGGAGCCTGATACATGCAGAGAGGGTGGAGCCAGCGGGATTTCCTGATTGATGGGGTATGCGGAAGAAAGAGGGAGCTGAGGGCTGCAGAATCATGGCCCCGCCAAACGCCACCACCTGATCCCCAGAACCTCAGACCGAAAGGGCTTTGCAGGGGTGATTAAGTTAAGGATCCTGTGATGGGGAGGTTGTCCTGCATTGTCTGGAGAGGAAGAAAAAACAAGGGTTCCAGAGGCAGAGGTCAGGGTGATGCATTGCTGGCTTTGAAGGGAAGGGGCCACAAGCCAAGAGATGCAGGTGCCTTTAGAAGAAGCTGGAAAAGGGCAGGAACAGATCCTCCCACCTCCGAGCCTCCAGAGAGAAGGCTGCCTTGCTGTTCCTCCAGTGAGACCCATGTCAGACTTCTGACCTCCAGGATGTGCAGGAATAATTGTGTGTCTAAGCCACTGTGATTGTGGTCCTTGGTGACAGCCGCCATGGAGACGAACATGAGGGCCAAGGGTGACTTAGCGACCCTCATGCTTATGCCAGGACAGCCTCCTTGGTCTCGGCGGGCCGTGAGAGGAGATAGGAAGAGAGGGGCATGTGCTGTGCCCACACCGGGAGGTCTGTGATCCAGCGGCTTACTGTGGGTGAAGCACCCCCAGCCGTGAAGTAGAGAGAACGGCAAGGCAAAGAACCGGCCGCCCCTCAAGGGGTGGGCAGCTCCTCTCTTCTTACAGGCACCACTGCAGATCCGCAGAGCGTCACTGGCCACATCTATATGTTGGCAGGAATTGCATCGCTCTCTGCAGCTCTGGGCGCGGTTTGCCAACTTGTTTTGGCGGAAGGGCTGCGTTAGAGCTGTAAGCATGGGAGCTCATCCTCATTTGATGCTTTTGCTCTGTTTCTGTAACATTAGAATAAAAGGGATTTTTAGCAAATACCTGGTGGCTCAGACAGGAAAGAAGCCACCTGCATTGCTGGAGACCCGGGTTTGATCCCTGGGTCAGGCGGATCCCCTGGAGAAGGGGATGGCCACCCACTCCAGTATTCTGGCCTGGAGAATTCCATGGACGGGGGAACCTGGCACTCTACAGTCCGTGGGGTCGCAAAGAGGCGGACATGACTAAGCGACCAACACTTTCGCATTAGCAAATACCCAGTAACCCATGTGAATCCTCTTTTCTCAAGGGTCTTAAGGAGACTGCTATTGGCAACGCGAGTTATCAAGGCATGAGATGTGCTCAGGTTCACTTTTTTTTAATGAAGACACTTTATTTCTTAGAGAGGTTTTAGGTTTACAGAGAAATCAAGCAGAAAGTACAGAGTTCCCTTATAACCGCCTCCCCACCCTATAGATCCCCTTTTGTTAATATCCCCCATTATTGCTATACACTTGCTACAAGTAATGAGCCCATATTGACGTATTATGCTTTAATATCTGTTTAAATAGTTTTTTTTCTTTTTGGGTCGAGCCACAAAGCCTGCAGGATCTTAGTTCCCCAACCAGACACCAAACCCTCACCCCCTGCACTAGAAGCAAGTAATGCCAACCACCGCCCTGTTGGGGAGTCCCGACGCATCACATTAACCCGAGTCCAGGGTGTACATTGGGTTTCACTCGATATAGTACATTCTGTGGCTTTTGCTAAATGCGTAACGACACGATTCCGCAATTACCATCTCACACAGAGTCATTTCACTGCCATAAAAATCTTCTGTGTTCTGTCTCCTTATCCCTCCCTTGCCCCCACCCCTGGCCACCACCAAACTTCATTGTCTCCAGAGTTTTGCCTTTTCCAGGATAGTTGGAATCACACAGTGTGTGGCCTTTTCAGATTAGCTTCTTCCATTCAGCAACTTATATTTACTTTTCCTCCACAGTTTTTCATGGCATGATAGATTATTGCTTTTTAGGGCTGACTAGTATTCCTTTCGGAGAAGGCAATGGCACCCCACTCCAGTACTCTTGCCTGGAAAATCCCATGGACGGAGGAGCCTGGTAGGCTGCAGTCCATGGGGTCGCGAAGAGTCGGACATGACTGAGCGACTTCACTTTCACTTTTCACTTTTCACTTTTATGCATTGGAGAAGGAAATGGCAACCCACTGCAGTGTTCTTGCCTGGAAAATCCCAGGGATGGGGTCGCACAGAGCCAGACATGACTGAATTGACTTAGCAGCAGCAGCAGCAGCAGTACTCCTTTGCCTGGATGGACCACAGCTTATCCAGTCACCCACTGAAAGACCGCCTGGTGGCTGTCAGTTTGGGGCAAATTTGTAGTTTTTCTTTTTTTTTTTTTAAAGACTATTTGCATTTTACTTATTTTTAATTTTTTGGCCATGCCGTGTGGCATGCAAGAGTATTAGTTCCCTGACCAGGAACTGAACCCCCGCCCCCTGCAGCGGTGGAACAGAGTTTTAACCACTGCACTGCCGGGGAAGCACATGGGGAAATTTGAACAAAGCTGGGACTATAGAGTCCATGGAATTCTCCAGGGTAGAATACTGGAGTGGGTAGCCTTTCTCTTTTCCAGGGGCTCTTCCCAACTCAGGGATCAAACCCGGGTCTCCCGCATTGCAGGAAGATTCTTTACCAGCTCAGCCACACGGGAAGCCCACAAGCAGACTTCCATCATTACTTCTGTTGTGGTGGCCTGTGGGGGAAGTTCTTTAACCATTGAAGGGTGTTTGTGCAGAGGTGAGTGGCCTCAGGATTTCTGGGGTGATGGGTGACCCCGGGCAGTGTGGTGAGCTTTCTGAGATGGTGGGCAGTGGGGGAGGGCAGGTCAGGACATCTCAGGGAGGCTCCCTGACGCCTCCCACTCCCCTCTGACGGCCAAACAGAGGCCGGGTGAACCTGATGGGATAAAACATCAGGAGTTTTCCACTCCACGGAGAAGGCTGGGACCCTCAAGTCCTAGGACTCTGGAACGAGGCTGTCGTGGAGAGCACAATTGTTCAGCTGTCACCATCACCCTGCGCGTGTGTGTGTGTGTGTGTGTGTGTGTGTGTGTGTGTGTGACCCTGATGGGTGGCCCCAGGGCAGAGGAGGGAGGCCCTTGCCCCCCCCAGCCTGGTCCCCCACCCCTGACTCCAAAGTATGGCACAGAGCAGGTGCTGGCCAGGTCTGCAGTTTCATGAAGAGGGACCCCCCCTCGTGCGGCTTTGCCGGCTGGCTCCCACCAGGCAAGGGCAGAAGCGGGAGACAAGGCTGAGCGTGGAGCCGCGTCCCCACCTCCCACCCCCGGGGCCTGCAAGGCCGCCTCGCCCACTGGGGGACCATCTCCCGGCCTGATTATCAGTGCCCATCTGGGTCGACCTCACACAAAAACAGGAAGAACTGGGACAAGATCCTCCACCTTCCTCTGATTGTCAGCGCCCAATTGTTTCCTCGCGGAGACGCCATCCGGAGGCTTCATGGATGCTCCTGTGCCGTGGCCTGGCCAGCCGCCCCCCCCAACCCCACTCCCAGCGAAGAGGAGGGGCCGGGGAAGCCCTGCCCTCCGGCGGAGCCCAGGCCACGGCCCGCGCGGCCGCCAGACGCAAGGAAAGACCTTGACCTCCCTCCAGTCTTTCAGGGCAAACCCAGGGGGCTTTCCGAGGCTGCGGGGGGCGGCTGGTGCTGAGGTGGAAACAACCCCCTGAGAAACGCCTTCAGCTGCAGGGCGACAGAGGAGCCGTCCCAACAGGATGCAGGTGACCCTGGCCAGGAGGCGGGGAGAGCCGCCCGCTCCCGGCGCCCACAGCCAGCAGCAAAGAGCGGAAAGGAAGTGCGGAGCGTTGGAAGCGCCGGCCTTGGTGCGGAAGGTCACCCAGCCTCCCGCACTGCTGTGAAGGTTTTCCAGCAGCTAAGTGTCCCCACGTGGGATTCGCTGTGACCCCCGGGGCTGGAGGAGACCTCAGATCCCAGAGGGTAAAGACTCTGTCCCGCTCCCCGCTGCCCCATCAGACATGCACACACATGCATTCACATGGGCTACAGGGTTCGTGCACACGCAAGCTCAAGAACCTCTTCCCTTGGGAAGGGAGTCCTCGCCTTCTGCAGAGTTTATGAGACCACCTGGGGCCGGTTGGGCTTTGACATTGGTCCCACCTCCAAGGTGATCTGAATTCTATTCCATCTGGCTTCCGGAAGTCTCAGCCACTGACTGTCTGCCCCTTCACAGGTGCCTGCAACAGCCTTGGGTGTCCACCGTGGCCTGTCCTCATCTAGTCCTGCTGCTCCTGGCCACAGCAGCCTGATTTTCCTGGGAGCAGGAGAAGTTGCCTTGCCCCCCAAAGAGCCAACCTGGGAAATTCTGCAGTGCCATTTCCACCATGCCTGATGGATTGAAGTAGCTCCACACCCTCCCACGTGCAAAAGGAGCGGGCAGAGACCTCACCTGTTCATCGGCAGAGCGTCAAAGAATTCACAACCATGTTTGAAAGCCACCATCATGCTCAAATAGGATGATGGATCCTCAAGGTGAGGGGGTGGGGGTTTTGCTCCCCCCCACCCGACCCTGAGGCTCTTTGGCAATGCCTGATGCCTGAGTGATCTGAGTGGTCGTGTCCCCAAATTCCCATGTTGAAAACCTAACACCCAAAGGAATCCCCTGGCAGTCCAGTGGTTAGGACTCCATGATTTCACTGCCTTGGTCTGGGTTCAATCTGTAGTAGGGGAATGAAGTTCCTGCAAGCGGCACGGTGTGGCTGAGGACAACCAAATACCAGGAAGCAAAGCAAACCCTAACCCCTAAGATGACAGCCTTGGGAGGCACAGTCTCCGGGAGGGGACCCGTGCCCACGAGACGCCCACGGAACATCACGTCCCGTCCTCCAGGTGAGGACGCGGTGGGAAACCACCACGCCGGCACCTTGACCTTGGACATCCAGGCTCCTGGAACTTGGGGAATCAACAGCTGTTGTTTCTTAGCTGCCCTGTCTGCGGTGCTGTTATAACCGCCGGAACGCGCTGAGACGCTGGATGCGTGTCTGGTTGTCATGGCTGGGTGAGATTGTGGGCTGGGAGTGGGGGTGGAAGGGAAACACCCTACAGGGCCCAGGACAGCCCCCCAGAGACCGACCCAGCCCCAAACACCCCTGGGGCCTTGGAGGAGAAACTGGGGCTGAGGGATGTGGCCTCCAGGTGTGGTCCCTCTGCCGGCCCCGGGGACCACCGGGGGGCTATGATGTGGCAGGACAGCTGCCCCGAGGAGCAGCTCCCCACCCCCAGCTGGGGTCACAGCTCTCTGGGTGGCAGCGGAGGCCTGAGCTCTGGCTGGGAGAGCCAACAGCATCCCTCATCCCCACTCTGCTCCTTCCGCCTGGTGACCCCCGTGAATCACCCTCTCCATCACCACCTTGCTTATCCCCTGGAGGCAGGAGGGGCCGCCCTGGATGAACCACAGCAATCCAGGAACTGGGAATGGATCAAAGACCTCTGACAATGGTCAGTGCCAGTGTGGACCCGGCCAGTGTGATGTGCCTGACCGGGAACCAGCATGTCCTCCCCGGGGGACCAGCCGGCCAGAGGGGCTCGGGCCTGTTCGCACACAGCTTGGGTTTTCTTTAGTTCCTCTCTTTTCTCTCTGCACCCACTCCAACCGCCCCCCCTCCGCCCTGCTCCGGGGTTTCCCTTGAAACACCAACCACACAGCTGCAGAGGCAGCCCCCCAGCCGCAGCCTTCCGGGGCCCGCTCCGAGCAGCGACCTGAGAGGCCCAGGCCGGGCCTGCATTGTTCCATTTTTGGAATTCTTCAAGAGTGAGAGCAGCCTGGCTGTCAACGGAGCTCTGTTCACAGAGGCCGGCCCGGCAAAGGGGAGAGGGCCCGCTATTGTCCGGCCGGGCTGCGGGCCGCTGGAATGCGCTGGAATGCTGGCCCGCGTGGCACAGCCCCAGAGCGGGGCCTTTGTGTGCAAACACCAGCAGATCGGCCCTCCCATAAATAATGACGACCTCACTGCTAGGGCTGGACAGGCGTCCGGGTACCAGGACTCCATCCTGTGATGGGTGGGCACCCAGGGTGGCCCCCCCACCCCAAGGAGCGCCTGTTGCTGGTGGGTGGGTGGTTCATAAGTAGATTGTTTCGACTGGGGGCTCAGCTGACTCCACAGGGGACCTGACACCCCCAGTTAGGGTGGGGACCTCAGTCACGGTCAAATGCTAGGAAGTGTACCCGGGGACACGGCAGGTGGGGCAGGGGGATGGGAGGGGCTAGACCGGGTCACCATCAGGAGGACGATGCTCAGTCCGACCCCCTCCAGGTGAGGCTCCGTGGTCACTTCATCCCTGAGAGCTGAGTTTTCTTCAGGACCAGGACCAGGGGGCAGAAATCCACATGTTTCAGCCAGGCTGTCAAGGTCACCATCACAGTGAGTCACCAGGGAAGTGAGACAGTGAAAGTGAAAGTCGCTCAGTCGTGTCCGACTCTTTGCAACCCCGCGGACTATACAGTCCATGGGATTCTCCAGGCCAGAATACCGCAGCCTTTCCCTTCTTCAGGGGAGCGTCCCAACCCAGGGATCGAACCCAGGTCTCCCACATTGCGGGCGGATTCTTTACCAGCTGAGCCGCCAGGGAAGCCAAGGAATCCTGGAGAGGGTAGCCCATCCCATCTCCAGCAGATCTTCCCGACCCAGAGATCGAACCCAGGTCTCCCACATTGCAGGCAGATTCTTTACCAACTGAGCTTATTTACAGAAGCCCAATGGGGAGTAAGTATTCAAACATCACTTCACCCCAAGGTGCTCCTCACCAAAAAGCTTGATGCCAGCCTAATCAACACATAACCTCAGATACACCTGACTAGGGGCGTCCTTACAAAAATACCTGACCAGTCCCCTACAAGACTGTCAAGTCATCAAAAACAAGGAAAGTCTGAGAAGACATCATAGCAGAGAGAAGCCTGAGGAGACATGGTGACCAACATGTCCTGGATGGGATCCTTGAAGAGAGACAGAATATTAGGTGAGAGATATGGAAGCCCGGATAAAGCATGGGCTTTGATGAACAATATCGTGCTGATGCTGGTTCCTTAATTGTGACAAATGTACCGGACCCAGAGTAGATGTTGCTATTAGTCTGCAAATTTTCTGTAAGCCTAAAGCTGTTGTAAGATGAAGAGCATCATGTACCTTCAGGATCAGGCTGCCTGTGGCTACATGGCAATTGCTCGGTAAACAGGAATTTGATGTGCTATGCCAACCTACCCCCTGTCATTCCAGACTCAGAGAAGCATGGAGATCCAGAGAGAGCCTTCTCAGTTTAATCTGCACAGTAAATGACACTGAAGGTATCCTGTTATGAGGAGGAAATGAAATAAGGCTGCAGGAGCGCATTGCGGGGGAAGCAGGGGACTGGACTGTGAGCGTGCTGAGGACCAGGGCTGAGTCTCTGACTCCTCGGTAGCCCCAGGGCTTGATCCAGAGGCTGGCATACAGTGGATGTTCAGCAAGCTTGTTGGATAACAGAAGGCAGGAGGGAAAGGAACATGAATAGTAGATTGGTGGTGGTTTATTTGCTGGCATGTCCTACTCTTGTGACCCCATGGACTGTAGCCCGCCAGGCTCCTCTGTCCATGGGATCTCCAGGCAAGAATACTGGCGTGGGTTATCATTTTCTTCTCCAGAATAGTAGATTGAATAGATGGAAATGGACAGATGGATGTTAGATGAATGGACGGGTGAATGACTACTGGATGGATAGGTAAACGAGTGGTGGATGGATGAGTTGCTTATGGATGGGTAGATGGATGGTGGATGAACGGATGAATGATGGATGGGTGGATGAATGACTGATGGATGGATGGATGGATGGGTGATAGAAGGATGGATGGGTGGATGACAGGTGGATGGATAGTGAATGGATGGATGAGTGGATGGATGGAAGACGGGTGGATAAAGTGTGGAGGGATGGTGGGTGGATGGATGGATTGATGCATAAGAGGATGGTGGGTGGGTAGATGGATGGATGAGGGATAGATGGATGGGTGGATGGTGGGTGGATGGGTGGATGCATGGACGGATGTATCTGCTGGGTTTGGGAGGATGGAATTGGGTGGAAGCTCTTTACCTTCCACCCAGGTTGTGTCTTCTCCCTGGACAAGTGAGATGCCCTCTGGAATCATTATTTACCAAACTTAAGGCACCCATGTTTACCTGAATTGAATGATCCCACAGTGGGAAGGTGAGGATTATTGTAAAGAACTAGTTTAACCCTAAGTGATGCTGTCAATGCAGACAGCTGGGATTGCTTGCCAGCATACGACAGCTTGTGTTCCTGTGCACTCTGAAATCCCCTGCCCAGAGCGGAAAGCACCAGAATCCTGGGGATTTTTCTAGAGTGGATTTTGTTTTGCCAACGAGAAAGAGTCGCCATCAGATGCAAGTGGTGAGAGGTGACCTGTCGAATCGAGAGCCCCTTCCCACCCCTCCGGTCAGCTATCACTGTGACCACCCACCTTGGCTGACCAGCAGCACTGCCCAGGAGAGGTGGCATCATTCAGAGCCCAGCATGACCGTCCAGGAGATCACTTCCCACAGAAACAGCCCTTCAATAGAGTCTCCAGCATCCAGTCACCGCCTGTCTGTCAGCAGCACGGCTGCCCAGGGGGTGGTTTCTCCTCTGCCCAGAACAACAGGATCCTCCTCAGACAACTTGGCAAGGCCATGGCTGACCACTCACCACGTCCCCGCCCAGCATCCCTCCTGCACCTCATGGCCCCAGAGTCTAGGGTAGAATACAGGAGTCTGAGGTCCTACGCTACCGTGTGAAATCACAATAATCGGTACATGTGTGTCCTGGTAGGTGGCAAATCAGCTTACCAAACTGCGGGTACAGTAGACGCCTGATTTTGTACATCTATATCCACCTGCATGGAAACAGGAAGACCACAGACAGCAGATCGCCTAACTAGCACCCACAGAGTTGAGACCACACGTGGGTCCCTGCAGTAACTGTCTCCAGGGGGCTCTGGATCCTGCTGGCCACTCCCAGCTGGCAGCAACTCCAGGAGCCCCCCTGCCCCTCAATGCCCCACACACACCTGCCAACGTCAGCTGTGTTCACACCGCTGCTGATGTTTCTGTGCTTGTAGTTAATCTGTTCATTTGCATAACTATTACATCAATCAATGAAATCTCAGTGCAGAAAGTTATTCATTCTATGGAAACTAAGCTTTAGAAAACACTGATGATGATAAGTTGTTACAAAGGAAATGAGAAAGCTTCAACTGAGCAGTAGGTAAGGCAGAGGTTAACAATGGTAGCAAGCATTCATAAAATTCTAGAAGAATCTTGAATTAGGACTGTGAATTCAGAGTATAGAACTCTGGGCAGTAACGGTACCAAATGAATGTACATTTGCACCATTTGAGGCTAAAACAATGTGGAAACTGTGAGCACGAGCCACCTTGCTTTGAATGGCATGTCCCTTTCACTAGCCTCCTACACCCCTGGCCTCGGTTGGAGGAAGCAACACCTTCTCCCCGAGATGCTGAGCATGGCTATTCTAAGACTATACATGACTTTTACTTTCTTCTTCGTATTTTTCCACATTTTGCAAATTTTATCCAACCAGCGTATATCACCTTAATAATCAGAACGGAAAAATATGTGTTTAACCAGCATCAACATGTCAGGAGGATCGCCGTTCCCAGGCAACCTAAGCCAGAGCTGCACCTTCAAAGATCAGAGTTGCTCAACCACGGCATTGGATCCTTTAGGGCTGGCTGGATCATTCCTTGGGGTGGGGGTGGGGAGGCTGTCCTGTGCACCGTGGGATGTTTAACTCCTCAAGAGACCAGTAGCAACCCCTCCCCCAGCTGTGACAAAGAAACCAAACATTACTAAATGTTTCCTAGGGGATCAATGTCACTGCAGGCTGAGACCACTGGTCCAAATGAAAGTTTCTAGAACATTCCGTGTCCATCCTGGGCGAAGCCTGGAGCCAGCAGAACTTTTGAGAAATCTTCTCTATCTCTCTAGACTACCCCCAGGCCTCAGCCTGCTCCAAGAACCCCAGCCTCCTCACTGTTCCCACCCATATCCCCATCACACTGAACACCAGACAGGTAATACTCCAAATGCTTCCAGTTTTCTGGAAGCTTTGGCTTCACAGACCCAAAACCCTGGATCATTGGAACCTATATGTCTTAACACCATCTTTCCACTCTCACCCCTAGAAGGTGCTGCGCAGAGATGATGGTGACTGTCTTTCCAAGAAAGTTATTCTCAGGGTGGACGACGCCTCGTGCTAGCCACCTCCTCCCTCAAAGGACCTCCAGCGCAGGCATCCAACCCCTCTGTCATCACTTTCTTCTTCTTCTTCATTATATCTGTTCTTTTCTCCATTCTTGGAAAGACATCGACTTTTTCTGAATCTGGAAAAGCCCTCGAAGCATCCAACCAAATCAGAGGCATGGGGGGCGGCGGTGGCGGCTCCGCGTGGCCACGCGCCTGCCTCCCTGTCGGGAAAGGATGCTATTGCGTCCCCCCCGCCCACCCTTCTTTAACCTTGTGCTCTGGTTGGGGCCTTTGCTAGGAACCCTGGCTCTCCCACTTTCCAGAAACTGCCTGGGTTTGTCCACCTGTGGTCCCTCCAGTCATATCCTAGGGGTCTGGGCAGCATATGTGGGAAGACTTTCCTATCAGGGTCCACTCATCACCAACCCAGAAAAGCTAAAATGAAACTGCGTGTGTGAGCTGTGAAGGTGAATGCAGAGGAGGCAGGGCAGGGAAGGTTCTGGAAAGTCTGGTGGTCCTTCCCCAAGGAGGGCATACCAAGAGGAAGAAGACGGACCATACCCCCAAGCGCCTGGACGCTGGGCTTCACTGGGCTTCACGCCCAACAGTGGCGAGGGAAGCCACTGGGGGTAGGAAGTAGCATTGGACGTTTATCCTTATTTTTCTCATGCTTTTTTTCCAAATCACAGCTTTATTGAAACATAATTCACATACCATACAATTCACCCCTTCAAAATGTACAATTCAGTGGTTTTTCATTCATTC